TTTTTGGAAACACCGTCTCCTCTTTTATCTCTATGAACTTATATTCTAGAAAATTCTCTATTTATGTTTCGAACAATTTCACACATACTCCAGTCGTTGACCAATTAAACGTTAAACACTTGAGAATTTTTCAGCAAAACGTAATATTGGTAAATTCGTAAATTCATGTTCGTATATCGCGTTATTTGACAGTTTGTAAAGTTATATGTTCCTCTCTGCGTTCTTGAATTAACCTTTTAACTTCGCAGAACTGATCCGAACCGGTCAACAATGTTCAATCACGTTTATTTACGTATCTTCTCTCCGCAATTACAGATGTTCGCAGCATGATTTTTTTTACTTTTTTTTTTTTAGAAAGGCTAGGCGCACGTATAATCGATGTATCATTCGCATTCTCTACGTAACAGGAGAACGTTGCCTCTCGTGTACGTCGCATTTTTATTTCGTTCCGCGAATTTAACTGTGAAATCGCGGGAACATGCTGACAAGTTGTCAAGGTGATTCAACGAGTCGTGCGCGTTACGCGCCTTGCGTTCCGTCGCAATAAAAAGGAACAGGAGGAACGTGTTTGCCGGCAGAATGTACTTTTATTAAAAACTCTCCTCTGGAAACGTGCTTCTTACGCGCTTTAGCATTTAACAGCAAATCACCGAGCCGTGGGTGACCGGCACACGAGCTTGACATTTCGCTAGAAACTTTCTCATTACCTTTGGAAAATACAATCGCGGCAAACATTCATTCGACAGCAGGGTGAGTTCAACTTCGCTTTATCTGCCGAAAATCAGCGATTCAACGAGACAAGAGCAGGAAGAACATCGTGAAAACGTAAGTTTAATTCAGGTTGTGTATATAATGATCGAAATTTATAAAAATTTCAATCGAAATGTATATTTAAAAATATATTTTCAAAATATACAAATAATATATATATATTCTTTAATATATTATATATATTTTTAAAATATACAAATAATATATATATATTTTTAATACATATATTTTTAAAATATACAAATAATATATATATATTTTTTAATACATATATTTTTAAAATATACAAATAATATATATATATATTTTTAATACATATATTTTTAAAATATACAAATAATACATATTTTTTAATACATATATTTTTAAAATATACAAATAATATATATATATTTTTAATACATATATTTTTAAAATATACAAATATATATATATTTTTTAATACATATATTTTTAAAATATACAAATAATATACATATTTTTTAAAATATACTAATATATATATATATTTTAATACATACATTTTTAAAATATACAAATGATATATATATTTTTTAATACATATATTTTTAAAATGTACAAATAATATATATATATATATTTTAATACATACATTTTTAAAATATACAAATAATATATATATATTTTTTAATACATATATTTTTAAAATATACAAATAATATATATATATTTTAATAAATATATTTTTAAAATGTACAAATAATACGTATGTTTTTAAAATATATAAATAATAATTTAAGAATATATTTTCAAATCATCTCTTGCCAATAGTCAAAAATTATTAATAGAGCACCGTAATTATGTTTACACGATTTTATAATCTTGTCCCACGGTAATAAGTGCTCCGTTTCGGATGTTTCGCGCAACATTTGGATATTTCAACGCAGATAATCTTTCAAGAGCAAGTCACAGACAAGCTGGACCATTTGTTAGAATATCGTTCGTTTCATCGGCAACGAATTTTACTTGTGACCAAGACTGTACGTTAACGCCAGTGGCAAACATATTAACCCTGCGAGCGGAACAAATTCGAGCACGAATTCACGCGTCGCGATACAGAGAGAGTGTATAAACGTTCCTTAATTTTTCTGCAACCATCGGGGTTGTGGTCTCCTTTTTTTACCCCCCTCCCCCTTTCCCTTTTTCTTTCTTTTTTTTTTCCACGGTCCGCTAGATGAGGCTATTAGCGGGCGCGTTTGTGTGCGCTGCACGCTATACTATAGTGCACGTATACGTACATATGCAGGGTGTCCATAAAGTCTCTTTACAATTTCAAAAATTTATTACAAAGACAAATGAAAAGACAGATGAGTGGAAATTAGTACAAAATGAGACGTGTATATTTAAGTTTTCTGCCTCGTTTAATACTACCTCTGATATGAGCACCATTGGTTGCACGAAGCACATCAAGACGGTGCTCGATTTCTACACGATCAATGTTTTCCTCGAATGTTCTTGGTCGTCCAATTCTCCCTTTGTCGAAACACTATCCATGTCTCCATAAATTTCTTGCGCCATGCACGAGAATTGATGGACGTGACGGTGGATCTCTTCCATACCTAGTTCTCAAGTTTCGCCGAGTCTGCAGAGATCCGATTTGGTTTCAACAAACCATGATACACGCTGTGCCTTCTCTTGAGTTGTAGCCATTTTGTATGGAGTTCGTTTAACAGTATCTTACCTGAAATGCAACGTGAATAAAAACCTTGACAGCCACTGAGTGCATAGAACAAATCTGACGAAGATATCTCATCAATTGCCTTTGTAATAAATTTTCGAAATTGTCGAGAGACTTTATGGACACCCACTACGGGACATCATTAATTTAAAGCAGGGGTGAGGGGGTACAGTCTTCATATGCTTCGTGCAACTAAGAAGTATATTAAATGAGGCAAGAAAAAAAAAGAGAAAAGACTTAAATATATATGTCTCATTTTGTAATAATTTCACTCATCTGTCTTTTCACGTGCCTTTGTGATAAATTTTCGAAATCGTAGAGAGACTTTATGGACACCTACTACGGGACATCATTAATCTAAAGCAGAGGGGATACCGTCTTCATATGCTTCGTGCAACTAAGAAGTGTATTAAATGAGGNNNNAAAAAAAAAAAAGAGAAAAGACTTAAATATATACGTCTCATTTTGTAATAATTTCCACTCATCTGTCTCTTCGCGTGCCTTTCTGATAAATTTTCGAAATTGCAAAGAGACTTTATGGACACCCCGTACCACGTGTCCATAAAGTATCTACACGCGAAGCGTATTTTAATAACCTTTGTGTTGCCACAAAGGCGACAACTTACCTGCAGATTAGAAGAAGAAAAGTAGTACTTGAGCGAACTCTCGAGGCGTGCCAGGCCTTTACGGGTGGCGTGTTTAAGTCGGCCGCACATATTTAAAGAGCGGCCCCGGTAAACTTGGCGAAAAGGAGAACCGTGTGAAAGCACGCCGAGCCTTCTCTTTTCTTTTTTTCTTCCCTCCTCTCTTTCTCTTTCTCTCTCTCTCTCTCCCTCCCTCTCGTGCTCTTTCCACGGTCATGCCAATTCACGTCCAATTAAACGTAATAACGATCCGACCGAGCTGAACGCTTCCTGAAAAGGAACAACCCTGCTTGCAGATTAACCCTTCCCACGTCTCACGAGTGTTTTTTTTCTTTTTTCTTCGCCTTTTTTGTTTCCTCCGCAAAGACGATATTCGCTGATTACTTCACTCGTCGCGTGTTCCTTCACGAGGATGACGTGATACTTTAATGGACGCAATACTTCATACAGGCAGAACGATAATTTTCTGGATTGTCAGGATTCTACCTGTTTGTTTTCCTTTTTTTTTTTTTTTCTTTTTAAACTTTAGTTTAAAAGTTACTTTGAACTTTGAAACTCCACAGTCTAACAACGATTTAATCAACGCAGGAAATACACACGTACGGGGAACTGTTATTAGAAACTGTGGATTTTTGTTGAAATTCGTATAATAAAAAGGACAGAACCGCGATTGTTTCGCATTGTGGGATATTGTAGAAACCATTGGCTGTTAAATATTTTTTTTATATTCTTTCATATCGTTCCACGGTTCGACTATTACACCCGCGAATGTGAAAGGTATGAAGTGCCAGCGTAGAAATTTATTTCGACAATTTATTTCGAGAATTCTACGCTGAGTGAAATGTAATCTTCGAAAGAGAAGTTATTTACGGTTCTTTCTTTTTCAGAGATCTCTGAACAGAACGATATCTCGATCGAATTATCGAAAGATTCATCTTGATCTTAGTTACACTTAACTCAATATTATTTGTGTAACGTTGATACTGAAACTAAAATCTTGCACTGATTTAAGCTTTATCTGTCAACGAAGGCTGATCGAAGAAATGAAATTTAAGGTCATTAAAAGTCACTAAATGTAAACTCTCGCTGATAAGAAAGTAATAATATCTCACGATAATATTATGCATAATTCATATCGTGTTTTAAAATAACCGTAGCAAAATATTTTCAATGTTTCTCTCAATATTTTTTCATTCTCTGAAATGGGTCACTGTTTAAGAAACCTCAAGCTTAGAATTTCGTGCACAGGACAGCCAAATCCTATAACCTCAAAGCCTCGCATTTCTTCCAATCGCCATTTACACTCATCTACCAAAGATATCACCAAAAGTTCGCCGATATAGCGTTAAACGAAGAACAATAGCGCAAGGAAATGAACAATATTGGTCACATATTGCGTCCCACACTAATTTCTCTCACTAAATATAAGTATATTTGTATAATATGTTGCTTGTAACTTTTACATTATAATAAATAATATTTTATAAATTTTTAAACTAGTTTCAAATTTATATTTTGTTACAACGTTGTATAATATAATTCGCAAAAAGTTTAGAAAAAAAATTGCGTCTCACGCAAATTTGTAATATGTTGCTTGTCACTTCTGTGTATATATATATTTTTAAATCAGTTTCGAATTTTGACGATCTTATTGCAACGTTGTGTAACGTAATTCACAGAATGTAATCTCTGTAGAAATATTTGCTCTACATATCAAATGTCACGGAAAACACGGTGAATTTTTCTGTAAAACTAAATAGCGGGTACCAAAAGCTTTCAAGTTGGAATGAAATTTTATTCCGATCAAATTAAACAAATTTGTTTTATGATATTCAGACGCTCGCATTGCGTTATACTTGTACGATCTTTTGGCTTAATAACGTGACACAAAAGTTATTCATCTATAATCTTGGCCTGTCTATAAATTTTGGCAACCACCAGCATAAAAATTTCGCTCAGTATCCACTTACGGATTGAAGTATACAGAAGAATGCTAATTACAAACACTACGTTTTTAACCACTTGCGCTGGCAACTGATTGCGGACCATAACGAGTGACCAAACCGTGTACAATAAATTCGTCGCTTTCTTTTCGAACTCGTCGGTATTATATATCACTGGATAGAAATTATTAAGAAGCAATTTAGCAAATTTATTATTTGTTTTGCCTGGGTTATACTTAAATATACTTAAAGCTGAGAAAATGTTGCATATTTTAGGACAAAAAGTTCTCGACTTGCCGTGGGCACGTCATTTCAGCGCAAGAGGTTAACTACTTGCGCTGGCAACCGATTGCGGACCATAACGAGTGACCAAACCGTGTACAATAAATCGTCGCTTTCTTTTTGAACTCGTCGGTATTATATATCACTGGATAGAAATTATTAAGAAGCAATTTAGCAAATTTATTATTTGTTTTGCTTAAATATATTTTGAAAATATTGCAATTTATAAAATATTGCTTGCGCTGGCAACTGATTGCGGACCATAACGAGTGACCGAACCGTACACAATTCGTCGCTTCCTTTTTCTTTTGAACTCGTCGGCATATTACTATAGATAGAAATTATTAAGAAGTAATAAATTTATTACTTATTTGGCCTTTGGGTTATATTTAAATATACTAAAAAAAAATTCTCGACATTGCGTGGGCACGTCATTTCAGCGCAAGAGGTTGACTACTTGCGCTGGCAACCGATTGCGGACCATAACGAGTGACCAAACCGTGTACAATAAATCATCGCTTTCTTTTCGAACTCGTCGGTATTATATCACTGGATAGAAATTATTAAGAAGCAATTTAACAAATTTATTATTTGTTTTGCCTGGGTTATACTTAAATAGACTTAAAGCTGAGAAAATGTTGCATCTTTTGCGACAAAAAATTCTCGACTTGCGTGGGCACGTCATTCCAGCGCAAGAGGTTAACCACTGGTAACTGATTGCGGACCATAACGAGTGACCGAACCGTATACAATAAATCGTCGCTTTCTTTTTTGGAACTCGTCGGTATTATATCACTGTATAGAAATTATTGAGAAGCAATTTAACAAATTGATTATTTGCTTTGCCTATTTTGTTTCACTTGAATACAATTGAAACTGAGAAGATATTGCAATTTTGAAACATGAAAAATTCTCGACTGGGCTTGTCATTCCAGCGCAAGAAGTTAAATCATCTTCAAACGAATGGCAAGAAGATTTATAAAAAAAGAAGAAGAAAAAGGAACGAGAAACGTTTCTTTCTAGGAACGAAATTAATCAATTTCTCTCGGTGAGAAGCTGGCGCATGAACAAATGAGAGGGAACACGTGAGAGAAGACGCGAAGAAGCCGGTCGCGGCCGATAAGAGCATCACGATCGAGGAACGAGAACGACGAAGATATCCGTCGAAACAAATTGACGCGATACACTAGCTCGCACTAGCAGATAAGCAAGTACACTCTTGACCCAATCGAACGATACGACGAACCGGGAGAACAAGAAGGCGGATCCGTCTTCTCGTCATCGTTCCCCGTGCGATTCTCTCTGCAATCAGAGTGATCGTAGTAGTATATTTATATACCGTTTACGTTGCTACGACGTAACTGCGTGTGTTTCATTTCAATTCAGAACGCTGAAAAGTTATGACAGTGTGAGTCGTGTGGTCTCGCGGGGATCATAGAGGAGCGTTGTTGTGTCCGTCGTCGACGTACCAGAGAGAAAAACGCGTCCTGGTAATAAATCGTCGAATAATTGTTGGATCGCACGCAATTTTGTACCAACTGGAACTCGCTCGATGAATGGGCGCTCTCGTGAATCTACAGGCTGTCTCATAGTGTGCGCGCGTTTCGGATTTCGAATTTTTCGTGTTGAAAAACGAAGGAAGTGGCTTTTACATCGGTTGTTTGTTAGTCGTGATTATTTAGAATTTAGGTTAGATTATTATTAGGTTATTATTAAAATTTAATAGGTTAATAATAAGTTGAAAGAAGTTTATAAAGGCAAATGGGCCTAATTTTGTGATATGCGAAACATTATTTAATAATAGTAATGAATAAATGGTCGTTTATTTAGAATTTAGGTTAGATTATTATTAGGTTATTATTAAAATTTAATAGGTTAATAATAAGTTGAAAGAAGTTTATAAAGGCAAATGGGCCTAATTTTGTGATATGCGAAACATTATTTAATAATAGTAATGAATAAATGGTCGTTTATTTAGAATTTAGGTTAGATTATTATTAGGTTATTATTAAAATTTAATAGGTTAATAATAAGTTGAAAGAAGTTTATAAAGGCAAATGGGCCTAATTTTGTGATATGCGAAACATTATTTAATAATAGTAATGAATAAATGGTCGTTTATTTAGAATTTAGGTTAGATTATTATTAGGTTATTATTAAAGTTTAATAGGTTAATAATAAGTTGAAAGAAGTTTAAAAGGCAAATGGGCCTAATTTTGTAATATGCGAAACATTATTTAATAATAGTAATGAATAAATGATCGTTTATTTAGAATTTAGGTTAGATTATTATTAGGTTATTATGTTTAGGTTATTATTAAAGTTTAATAGGTTAATAATAAGTTGAAAGAAGTTTAAAAGGCAAATAGAATTTTGTGATATGTGAAACATTATTTAATAATAATATGAATAAATGATCGTTTATTTAGAATTTAGGTTAGATTATTATTAGGTGATTATTAAAGTTTAATAGGTTAATAATAAGTCGAAAGAAGTTTAAAAGGCAAATAGGCTTAGTTTTGTGATATGGGAACATTATTTAATAATAGTAATGAATAAATGATCGTTATTGAAAAAAGTCTAGTGCAAAAATTATTAGCTCATACCAATATCATACAGTTTCAAGCATTCTTTTGTATTCCACTGTAGCTTTTAGTTTCTAATATATATATATATATATATATATATATATATATATATATATATATATATATATATATATATATATTTCATATTATATTCGATTACAGTATATTATACAATTTCATATTGTATTTCGTATTGTATGATTCGTACGTTATAATAAAATATGAATTATTTTTATATTTATATATATATATATATATATATATATATAGATAGGTATTTATCTATAGTGAGTAACAACAGTTGACAACGTACTCATTCTTAAATGTGTCTTCAAAACAACGCGACTTCTGAACTGATTTGAACACTTGAAATTATTTTTACGAGTGTCAGGCGTCCATGGTTTATGAAACAGCCTGTAAAATCGCCGAGTAAAAAGAACATAAGCAAACGATAAAAGTAATCACATTAACCAGAAATATCAATGATCGTGACTATTGGATAATTATCCGGCTGTTACGTAATACTTATCTAACAGCAACCATCGATTATTTCCGAGAAATTAAACTCTGCAATTGTTTCCACGCAAACGAGAATCATAATGTAGTTATTAACTAGAGACTGCATTCATTAACTCGCAACAGTTTGTTACAAGCCGTACACGCATTACGTAACTATTATTTCCAAATTCTCTCGAAATTTTAGGAAAGTATAAATTAGAGACAAACGCGATCAACCACAATGTAACACGATTTGCAGATTGTTTTTCTTTTTATTTGTTTCATTTGCAGATTTTTTTTTTTTTTTTTTTGGAAGTTATCAACTACAACAATCCTGTTTACGAATCTTCTGTTCTGTTGTACAGGTCGTTTCACTGAAAGTGGCCCACCAACTTTTCACGAATCTCGTTACGTTGCAAGAATCGGACAAAGATCGTTGATCGAAAAGGTAAACCAACGCTTTTATGCTCTTTGTTCACGTACCAGCTGCGTTGCAAACAAAAGCACCGCGAGAACAATGCTGTATTTCTCTTTCGTATTAATTCCGCCTCAAATTTCAGGAAGACGAGAAAGATGTCTCCATTCTCTCGCCTTTGTCTCGTGTTCGTCGTGCTGGCGGCGCTGGTGCAGCTCTCTCGCGGGCAGGAGACAACGAAACAACCTTTCCTCTTGCAGAAAATCAAGGATAGTTTGGGAATTGTTCACGAAAGCATTCACCACGCGATAGAGAAGTCGAAGCTCGGGGATATTATTATTTTCGATGCACCACCGACAAGCACCACTACAGAGATTAGTATAGAAACAACTACGGGAGAAGACGATGATTACGAATTATCGCTTAGGCAGTTCATTGATGTACCAACTAGATGTCGTCCTGGTTACGATTTCGTACGCGGAAATTGCCGCAAAAAAGTTCTTCGATGAATTGTATTGCATTTGTATTTTCTTTACTTTTATTTTCACTTCTCTTGATATTATCTTTCTTCGATGTTTCCCATTAACCTCACTTTCATCGCAACGTAAGGTTTTCCTTTTTTTAAAGAGTGTCTCTTGTATTTTGAAACATCCTGTACATCGTACATACATTTAGTTTCCTTTTTTTTTTTTTATATTGATAAAAATTTTTTAAATTCATATTGATAAAAGTTTTAAAAATTTTTTATATTGACAAGTGAAACGTCCTCTACAGCCTTGGAATAACTCGTGCGATTCTGTTGCCTTATCGTGATCGTTGTTAGACCGTAGATTTTAATGCAAATTCGTACTTTTGAGAATGTTTAATTAAAAGGAAATCGTTTCACTTGGAATTATGTATACTATGAATTTCGTACAATTTCGTATTTCCTGCAAATGCATAAGAATCCAATAGCCAAGCGATTGTAATTTAATTGTACTCAACTGTTGTTAATTAAAATATACGCACGTGATTGATATTCTGAAACGCCCTGTATTCCTTCGACATCTTTTTGAAGCGCTCTGTACATGTCGCGAGATATTCGCAAACATATCTTGACGTAATTCGTTCATTATGACCAGAATACGTAGAATCAAAATTTTAAAATGTTCTATCTATAATAAATATTTTGAAATTCTCTATCCAAATGAAACTAACCCAGTAAGAATCGTTACTTTTATTGAGACCTTCTATCATGTTCGATCATCTCTGGTGAGATTAGAGGTGAGATTAGATGCGAGATAATTATCGAATAATTGTTGGGAACCTTGACGAGAAGTGTGTATCGCGAAAGGACGGAGATGAAATATCGGATATAGCAGATCACACGGAAGTGGAACATCACAAGAGCCGATGAATCCTGCGTGAAATGAAATGTGAAAAACTTATCGAATAAAGGTCCCGTGTAATTTTACGAGGACCGAGGAGTCCTCCGCCAAATGAAATGTGAAATGACCTCTGAATGAAACCGTTCTGCTCGAACAAGGCTTGATCTACGGAAGTGCAGACAATATCGAAGACCGAATCGTTCGCGAGTCGAATGAAATTCGGCAAACTGGCAAGCGTTCACACGATTGCAATTTCTTTCTTCTGTTGTTTTCGTATTATCGAGTTGTCGACACAAATGGACACAAGTTATATTTCGAATTGACGCGATTAACAAACACTCGACCGTATCGACAACCTCTATTTTCTAATTTAGGGAAAAAAGAATTAAATTAATCGCCATTTTAACAATTGTAAATTACGAGTTGTTTTAGCATGTGGAGTTGACAATAAATCATTAGGAAATCGTTTCTTTAAACTATCACGATCGATGGAAGAGAAATTTTGGAATGAAAAAGAAAAGGAAACGATCCACTTTGGAAACTTTGAATCATTCGATTCGTGACCTGTCAATTGGTTATTAAGTTGTTAAGTAAATCACGATGCACCAGTAGTTCGGTCGTATTAATCATTAGGAAATCGTTTCTTTAAACTATCACGATCGATAGAAGAGAGATTTTGGAATGAAGAGGGAAAGGAAACGATCCACTCTGGAAACTTTGAATCATACGACTCGTGACTTGTCAATTGGTTATTAAGTTGTTAAGTAAATCACGATGCACCAGCAGTTCGATCGTATTAATCATTAAGAAATCGTTTCTCCAAACTATCATGATCGATAGAAGAGAAATTTCAGAATAAAAAAAAAAAGGAAACGATCCACTTTGAAAATTTTGAAAACCGTAGAATTATACGATTCGTGACCTGTCAATTGATTATTAAGTTGTTAAGTAAATCACGATGCACGAGCAGTTCGGTCGTATTAATCATTAGGAAATCGTTTCTCCAAAATATCACGATCGATAGAAGAGAAATTTTAGAATAAAAAGAAAAAGGAAACGATCCACTTTGGAAACTTTGAAGACCGTATAATCATTCGATTCGTGACCTGTCAATTGGTTATTAAGTTGTTAAGTAAATCACGATGCACCAGCATTTCGGTCGTATTAATCATTAGGAAATCGTTTCTCCAAACTATCATGATCGATAGAAGAGAAATTTTAGAATAAAAAGAAAAAGAAAACGATCCACTTTGAAAATTTTGAAGACCGTAGAATCATACAATTCGTGACCTGTCAATTGGTTATTAAGTTATTAAGTAAATCACGATGCGACCAGGAGTTCGCTTGCAACTCATAGATCCATAATCCTGTCCAAGAATATGCCACTTAATCCATTACCGGTTGCGCTCAGGTAAACAAATTCAATTTCACAGGGTCTCATGTTAGTCACCGAGCGTGGAAAGAGCGATATCTGATGGCGATAGGGATCAAGGTTTCTTGGCAAACGCTTTGGAGACACGAAAGAAAACGGCCGAAATTCGCGCGTTCCTCTAATGCGACATTTCGCCCCTTGTTTTTTGTTTCTTTTCTGTTGCAGTCGATTATCAATTACGATCGTTGCAGGCTGATTCATGGTTGTTTCGCGTGACACACCTGCTGCTAGCTCAGACGCGAAAAAAAAAAAAAAAAAAGAAAAACTCTTTGATTAAACGTTCACTGACAGCTACCGATACGTAGCGTACTCGAACACACGGATTATGGTACACACAGACTGGCTCGCTATTGTCGTACAAAATACATTTTGAAAGGCCACACCATCGCCATCGTCAGGATTCACTAATTTATATTTTAATGAAATGTAATTTTAAATGTAATTTTAATGAAAATGTTTAAAATACTATCATTGACAGAAATATTATACTACGGTTGTAACTGACGCAACTGTGACACTGATCAAACTCGAATGGGTAATTTAAAATTTTATGGTTGCAAGTGGAACTCACGTTAACACCATCAAAATGACCAATTTGTAATTTTTGTTAGAAATTTTAGAGACGTAAAATTGTACTTATATGTATCATAAAGTTTTCTATCTTTTTTTTATTTTTTTTTTTTTAGTTTATTGCCTCTGATGGAAATGTCGTGCCTTAATCGTGGAAAATTCTAAAAAGTATTAATCAAACGCTTGAAATTGATATAATGTTAGAATGTTGTTATGCGTAGGATCATACGTCGTGACTGGACTATGGATTTTTATGCAAATTTACATTTTTGAGAATGGTACGTAAGCAGAAAGTTGTTTCTGCATTTTCATATATCGTGACTAAACTATTTTTTTGCAAATTTACATTTTTATGAGTGGTAAGCATACAGAAAATTGTTTCTGCATTTTCCAATCTCCTGCGAATAATAAAAATTCGCAGTAATAATTTTTATTAGTAAATTAGACTTAACTTGCATTTCTAATAATCGTTCTAAACAATTACACGAGTATTATTATTATTTAAATTTATAATAATAATTCTAAAAATTAAAACTATCATCCATTTGAATAAAAATTCAAACTAAAATTTAAAAAAATTATCCTTCAACTTAATCAATTAAAATTAAAAAAAAAAAACAATTATTATCACACATTAAATTTCTTAAAATAATAAACTCAAATAAACAAATGACTATTATTAAATAAATTACACAAAATTAATTCAACCATTAAAAATAAACTTGGAATATTAAATTAAAAAATTTTTTCCTCCGATGACCAAATTCATAAATTCATTATTCTAGGATGATAATAATCCTAAAATACTATAAATATTAAAAACATGAAAAAAACAATCGTAATCTATATCTATATAAAATTATAAATAAAATAAAAGTTACATGTAAAAATTCTGGTACAATTAAAACTCTTAAGTAATAAAAAACGTTTTACAAATATAATTCTAACAATAACAAAAGAAAAAAACAAAAATAATAATAACAATTAATTCCTTAATTGCATTTCTAATAATCACTCTAAACAATTACACAAGTATCTCAACAGATCCCATTTAAATCTCCAACTAACACGATCCTGACGCTGGTAAGTCAACAACAGTGCCAATAAAGTTTCAAAATGTTTCCTACTCTCGATATACACACACACACACACACACACACATATATATATATATACATAGTGTAAACGTTGTAATATTTTCGCGAGCCACGAGTCCACGCGGATGTTCCGTTGGCAACGCGAGTTAAACGGCTGGAAGGAAAAGAGGGTCGGAATTTGCGTGATCGCTAATTGTGAATGTGGCGAGCAACGAGTTCACCTGTGCCCTACGACCTTCCTCTAAACCCTCGGCCAGTGTGCTCGCGTCATTCCAGCCAGCCAGATTTTCTACTCATTGTCAGAAGTAAAGACCCCTCGACACTTGTTGCTCTCGGCATCGACATTTCCTGCGCGCCCCGCCGTTATATACGCGCGTGCATTTCGCTTTCGTGGTTGCATTCTTTGTCGAGTTACACGTGTAGTAGACGCGAGCTACCGTCGCAAACGCACGCACACACACACACACACAGGCAGAGAAAGAAAGAGAGAGAAAGATGGGGAGAGATGTATATATGTACGTCTCGTTACGCGACTTCATAATGCTCGCGGCCGGTATTGCGTTTCCCTTTGCTTCCTTCGCGTTGACGACGACGCGAATGCGAGGTATCCATTACTGTCGGCCATGTTGTACACCGGGCTGTCTAATTGAAACGCCGATGATCCCTCCGCCGTGGAAAAGGAGAAAGAAAAGGAGAAAGAAAAGGCCGTGGATTTCTGTTCCTTTCTCGCTGCCTATTGTTCTTCGGGGAAATAACACCGG